AAGAGTGTTGTATTGTTAACCATTATATGTCATTGAACTATGCTTTTTTTTATAGTTGATGAGAAATATCATAATTATATATATTTTTCATATGTTTTAGGATTACATCGTGTCTTTTAATGAAGTATATATTTTTTTTATTTCTCATTGTTGTTTTGACATTAAGAGAAGTCTTTATTATAAAAGTGGTATTTGACTTTTTTTGTTTTCATCATTGCTTTAAAAAATATAATGGAAAAAAATTTTAAAACCTAAGATGCATCATGTATTTACTAAAAAGTAGCCCTGCCTTTTTCAAAAACATAAAATATTAATCCTCATAACTCTAAATGATCTCATGGTTCTATTCAAAATATTATGACCATATCACTTTTGTGAAAACTCTTTTCCAAGACAATCTGAAAAAAAAAAAAGAATTTATTTTTGATTTAGAAAATGATTCAATATTTAGTTAAAACAACATTTATTCATCCTACTTATAGGATGGTGAATGATATAATCAAGCAATTTTCTTATTGAGGTGATGAAAAAAACTTTGAACCAAATAGCACTGAATTTTTTTATATAAAAGATATAGTTATCATCACACCATGTCTCTTAAGCTATGTTTTAGATGCATATATAATGTTATGTGGTAGATTTGCTAGATGTAGACTTGTGAAACACAGTTCTTTGCAAGTTCAAATTATTGCACTAAACAAGGTAAAAATTTATTATTTTTGCTACTTGCAATTGAAATAAGAGAAATGTTATCTTTATTATCTTAATAAAAAAACAAAACATTTCCATTACAATCACTTTTTTCACTTAAATAAGTTTTTCTTCATGAAAACTGTCACTAAGGTCACACATTGCACTAGGGGTAATTGAAAATTCAAATATCAAATATTAAAAAAAGACATAAGAAATCCAAAAGCAAAAGAGCAAGTCATGAGAAATCCAAAAACAAAAAAGCCTAAAAAATCAAAATGTTAAAAGGGCATTGTCGCACCCGACATCGCGGCGGCCTTAAAAAATTTAATTCATGGAAAGAATGGATTTCTGGCATTCTATTCTTTGATGGTGAATGATCTGGTTTTAAGGAGTCGCCACCTAGTGTTATGGTCACTAGGAACCCTAACTGGTCAACAGAGATTCTATGGTACGAGACTGGTTATGCAAAAGAGAAGATATTATCACCCCACCCCTTAAGCGTCCTGCCTAAAGCAGGCTGTAGTGCTGACTTTGTCATAAATTGCTAATGTTTTGTTGGTTTATGCTATGGTGGTTTTGCGTGTAATATTCCTGATTCTGGCGCCAGTGAATATTTAACTATGGATATTTCCAACTCTGGCGTTGGTAAATATTACGTAGTTATAAAAACAAAATAACTTTAAATCATCATTTCTTTTTTTCTTCTTATTCCTGACTCTGACGTTAGTGAATAAAAAAAAATAAAAATCAATTTATTTTTTACGCACATGCATTTTTATTTTATTTTTATGTAGCTAAATAAAAACCAAATACAATACAATAAAATAAATTTACGTTAGTATTTTTATTCCTGACTCTGACGTTAGTGAATAAACCAAATAAATTTATTTTATGTTATCTGATGTTATTATTTTTATTTTATTTTTTTGCACCCACATTTTCATTTTTTATATAACCAAATAAAATTCAATGAAATAAATTTGAATCAATGTTTTTATTCTTACTCTGATATTAATGAATAAAAAAACAATAAATTTATTTTTTTTACATACACAAACCTTTATTATATATTTTTTTATTTTTTTTTAAGTTTTGGGCTGGGTCCTTCTTCTTTTCTGTTATCTTTCCATTTTCTTGCCTT